TTAGAGGTCACTGTAGCCTGACAGCTAGCTTTGTAGAGGTGACAACAGCCTGTCTCAGGACTTCTAAAGTAGGTGGATAACACAGTAACCACCTTCTGGCTTTGGCAGTCCATACTTAAAAACTGGTGTGTAAACAAAGATTGATAAGTTGTCTGTCATTTCTCCTCCAGATGCTCCAAAGCTTCCCTCTGTGTCAGTGAGTCCCTCTGCTGAGATAGTGGAGGGCAGTTCAGTGACTCTGACCTGTAGCAGTGATGCTAACCCAGCAGCTAACTATACCTGGTACAAGGAGAATGAAGACTCACCAAAAGCATCAGGACAGATCTTCACCATCTCTAACGTCAGAGCTGAACACAGTGGGAATTATTACTGTGAAGCCCAGAACACAAGAGGACGTCATAACTCCACCTTACAGCTGACTGTTGTGGCAGGTTAGTTTGTCCATGACACTCATTAATGGCTGGTTAACAGACAGCATCTAATTCATGAATCAAATCCCTCTGGTAAGGTACAATGATGTATATCTCATGACTGTCAATCTCCATTTGTAGATAAATCAATCATGATCATGAATATCATCAGGCTGACTCTGGTGGTTGTGATGCTGATTCTACTGCTTCTTTTTTGTCTCTGCATGAGGTGAAAATATAAAAAGAATCATTGCTGATCTTTTATTTTGATTATTTATTCTCATAGTTTTTGATTAAATGTTTTATTAATTTGTTTGATTTTGGATTGAATTCAGGAAGAAGAAAACTCTGAGCTCCAACAGTGAACCAAATGAACCCAAAGAGACTCTGGAGGTGAGACAGAGAATGGGACACAGTGACAGAACCTACTGTACCAAAGGGTTATAATTTGCTGTAAATTTATGAGATCATAAGGTGAATTTACGTATAACTTGATAATGAGAAAGAAAAATCTGACTCTCATCTTGTCGTCTCTCCCTATCAGTTAGACTCTGCGTGTGAGAACGTCTCAGACTCTGCAGCACAGAGAGAAGACGCAGAGGAGCAGGAAGACCTGGTGTGAAGCTCAGCCAGGTTTGAGTCTGCTGCATGAGGAAAAAAATCACAAACCCAAAGTTGTTTTGAGTTCCATTTGTGAAAAAAAAATAGCTCACAGAAACGTAATATGATTTTCTTCAGATGTAGTTAAACCAGAGGAAGACTGGTCTGAATGGAACAGAAACAGAAAGAAGTAAAACAAATGATGTCAATGTCAGTTTTCAGATTTGTGTAGAATACAAGCTTTTTGTACTTGTGCCGGTACAATACATGCGTTCAGAATTTAAACTTTAATTTTACTGTAATATATTGCTTTTCAGAAATACTTATCACATCACACCTGTCGTGGCAGAGAGAGCTAATGAAGTCAAAACAGACATGGAAGCAAAATATTTCACAGCATGTACAGT